CACGGTGCCAGAGGTGACTCTCCATCACAGCTCCTCGGGGCCCTCGGGATTTCCTTGATTGAATTTCACAGGATGCAACCAGTGCAAATGGCTCTTCATCACTCATGAAAGCCATCTAATGAGCTAGCATTTGCTTCGGAGGAAAGCAAATAGATAATACTATTTCCTGGGAAAACGCTGGCATGGAAGGACACACTGCCTTGATGAATGCTGTTGAGTAATGAAGCTGTCCAGCAATCATAGAATTTATGGGGTTGGAATGGACCTTAGAGATCATCCAGTCCCAACTCCCTGCCCTGGGCAGGGACAGCTCCCACCAGACCAGGTTGCCCAAGGGTTTATCCAACCTGGCCTTGAACACTGCCAGGGTTGGGGCAGCCACAGCCTCTCTGGGGAGCCTGTGCCAGTGTCTCACCACCCTCACAATCCTGGATTCCATCCACCCTGGATCTAACTTTGTGGCTCCCGCTACCACAGCAAACAACACCTAATGTTATATCTCTGGAAAAGCACTTGGAGATATGGTTTAAAAACTAGAGTCAGAGGGATTAGAGTTGGAAGCTGAAATACTGAAGTGCACAGAGCTCAGGGATGCTGAGGAATGAGCAACCTGCTGTAAAATAAGGCAAATTCTGTGTCCCCGCACTCCCACCTGAACACCCAGAGTGTGCAAACAGTTGTTGAAGTGGCTGAAAGAAGCCACTTCAATAAACCCCAAGAAATACAAACACTGTTATTACAATTAACAAGCAAAGCTAGATCCTCTTTTCCCTTTGTCTGGTATACAATTCCAACTGCCATGTAAGCTCTATTCCATACAAGGACTGTGATGTTGCTACAGATCCACACAGAGCTTCAACTCAGCCAGGCAGGCATATCCAGGCAGTGACTTCAAATATTTAACAACACAAGATATATTGCTGTTGGTGAGGCTCAGATTAATTTGCAACATGAACCACAATAAATAAAGTATTTATCTGACATTTTTCCCTGAGCCATTATGCGCTATGAAGGACAAGCCCCAACAGTTTACCTGACTTTTTTCTTGCAGGGCCAGAATTGAATCCTTTATCTGCTCTGAGCTGAAGAGGAACAATACATACAGCAAAACAGGCAGAGGGAATCTGGGATCTGTACAGAAGGGGCAGGAGGAAAGCTCCAGGAGTTAAATGTGACACAGATAATGCCCTTTACTGCTGAGTTGTTAAGTCAGTGTGTTTGTGTAATGTTTTACTTATAACCAAACTCAGGACATGAACATTTTGAAGCATCTTCAGTGAGTTTAGTTACTCTACACCACCAATCCCAACCATGATCCCACGTCACGCTATGGAAAACAATGGAGAATATCTTCTTCTAGCTTGGTATTTTCACTTTAACAGGTGGTAAAGCAGCTCCATCTCTCATCCCCTGCTTGGGGGCTGAGTCCTCTTACCGGGTGGGCACAGGGACCTCGGTGAGGGCCCCCAGCATGACGGCCTGCTGCAGCCGGACGAAGGCGATGAACGGGCTCTCCAGGAAATCCACCTCCCCAACCAGCACGTTGGAGGCCTCAGCATCACGGGGCAGCTTCTTCATGAACTTATTCTTCAGCTACAGAGGTGGAAGAGGAAAGGAAATGGAGTTGGGTTTGGCATGTTCTTCTCATCTCTGCACCTACTGTAACTATGTGGGCTCACAGGCTCTGCAGCACGCTCCAGCTGACAAATATGAGCTAAGTCCAACTGTGGAGAAATGGCATCAATGGGAATTGAGAAAACATTGCAGCAGTAGCAGCCACTGAGTTCTAAAATCAGCCTCCCTGAGGCAGCTTTATTTTACCTTCAGCAGTGGCAGAATGAACTTGGAACTGAAGGCTTTGCAAACCCTGTCCTTAGCTGCTTCCCAATCCCTTCCTCTCCCTGGGTGAGCTCTGGAGATGCTCTGTGTGTGCCTGGCGAAGGGTGAATGGCAAGGAAGGATGTACTGCCAGGAACACCAGTGGGGGGCACTGACATGGGCTACAAATCCCTAATGAGCTTTGCCAAGGTGACTCCAGGAAGGAGAAAAGTGGAGAGAGTCTCGGGAAAAGGCATGCATTGATTAAGCAGGAAGAAAACTGCTGGAACCATCCCACCTCTGCATGCTTCAGTCAGGAGTACCCCCAGAGGAAATAGTAAATAAGCACAAGTTGCTTCATGGAGGAAGTCTGGAAAAGTGCTACCAGTTCCTCCATGGATAGTGTTTGGGGGGGCACTGGTGATTAAAAATATAACAGGAAGTTGGCAAACCCACAACAAACATTCAGCTTAGCCCAACAGGTTGTCCATGTTGCTGAACAAGGATCACAGTATGTTCACAGGATGTTAAGGGGTTGGAATGGACCTTAGTGATCATCTAGCCCCAAACCCCTGCCCTGGGCAGGGACACCTCCCACCAGAGCAGGTTGCTCAAGGCTTTATCCAACCTGGCTGTGAACACTGCCAGGGTTGGGGCAGCCACAGCCTCCCTGATCATTCAGCAACACCAGGCCTGGTTGGGACACCTGGCCCAAACCCAGGTGACATTCTGAGCCAGAATTGACCCCCAGGATCTCCAATCCTGCAGCTGCACAGCTCTTGAGGCCGAAGGCTTCAGCCCCTTCAGCCTTCCCCATGCCCAGCACAGCAAACCACCATGACTAATTGCAAAGAACTACTATTATAGTGGGTTTTTTTCCTCCAAATGAGTTTTGCAGCACCACCTGCCACTTTCCTAAATCATTTATCAAAGAGGGTGCAGACAGCACTTAAGATCCATTCTGAACCCTTCCCTGATGAAGCTTCAGAGAGACTCGAGGCCTCAGCAGCACCCAGGAGCAAGGAGGGAGGAGGAAGCTTCACTCTGCCAAACTGAACATCCTTCCAGCCTGACCACGAATGTGTGAAAGGCCACAGGTCTCCAGCACTGTACGTGCAAAAAGGCACAGAAATTCCCAATTTCCTTAAATGTACTGTAACACTCTGATCATCAACATCACTCTGGATCGATCGGAAATGAAAGCAGCTCCTAAGTACACACTCCTAAGTAGCACTTAAGGAAGGTTAATTCCCTCTGGAATTTGAACCTGCCTCTGTCTCTCTGTTTTTCTGTATCTGCTCACACATGGGTTATAGTTATTCCCATAACTCATTCCATGAACACCTGCCTCAAGGGATACCTTCAGACTCTGGGCTGCTGCATCACCCAGGGATGCTTTAGAGGTGCACTGTGGATGAGGGAGAAACCAGGCAAGCAAAACTGCTCTCTGCATCAAGAGAAAAGGCCAAAGGAAAGGAAATTCCAGTTAACTACACTTGCTAGAAACTTTCCCTTTCCTCCAGGAAGGTGGCATTGATTTGTACTGGAAGACAGTCATTTTCACTGGAGCTCCATGGGGTGAAAGCAGGTCACCCAGGCTGATAGACCTCAAAGTCAGGGACGTCTGCTTGCAACTGTGGAGATGAGATGTCCCAACAGGAAAAGTAGTGAATCACTCCCACCATCAATCACTGGACTGCATTCCCCAGAGTGGGATGCTGCCAGTGCCCTCCCTGTCCACCAGTGCCCAGGAAAAGCAGGAGGGTTTCTCTCAAGGCCAGTTTCTTTCTTAGCTTCAGTGCTGGCTTTGGCACACATCCCCTGTTCATATGGAAACACTGGTTTGAATACACAGTGCCCACACCACAACAAATAAGCAGGGTTTTGTGCTTCCCTCTGAGTGTCCATATTCATTCAGAGCCAGGTTTGTCCCACATCCAAGCCCTTTGGAAGTGAAGATAAAGCCAGGTCAGGAAACTCCCCTTATATCAACATACGTTCCCTTTCTATATGCTGTTGCATCAGCTTGGGAATAGCAGATCCCTGGGAAAACACATTTTCTTTCAAGGTCCCTTTATTTTACATGTTGAGCACTAAAGGAGTCCTGGTGGCTCAGCCACTTAAAGCTGCCAAGGACATTCTAACAGAGCATGGCCAAAGGATTTCTCACATGAGCATTTGAAGCTGAATTTAGAAAGTCTTGATCCCCAGCTTCCTATGGTTTGCTGGCACTATGGCACCAGAGGAGCTGATAAAACCTCTACTTGACTCTTTTCAATCACTTTTCTTCACACATAAGATGAAAAAAGAGTTTTAAAGGTAATTATTAAGCTGGGGCTGCCCCATCCCTGGATCCAGGCCAGGTTGGATGGGGCTTGGAGCCACCTGGGCTAGTGGAAGGTGTCCCTGCCCATAGCAGGGGGTGGAATGAGATGGTCTTTAAGGTCCCTTCCAATCCAAACCAGTCTGGGATTCTAAGAATATGGTGTTAGAGAAAAACTTGATCCAACAGCTCAACCTTCAAGAGCTGGAGGAGTTCTCCTGCCATGAGAAGTCCTGGTCCTTTCAGACACCGCCCCAACACCACTGATGGATCTGGCAGCAGAGAGGCCAGAGCAAGCAGGAAGCCTAGATACTAATTTATTGGTTGGAAAACAGAAAAGAAGAATAAATTGTCTCAAAGTGCCACTGCTTGTCTCTCCAGCTGTGAACACCCAGGGCACTACCCACAGCCAACACCTCCTCAAAGGAGACAAATGAAGCCAAATCCCTTCTCTGTGCTGCTGTCTCAGGAGCCAACACAAACACAGTGAAAGGGAATACACCTCCTCTTCCCTAATTATCTTTATAAAACATGAAACAAACCCAAAGCAACATGACAAAACAGCAGACCCAAAATTTGGGGGCTGTTACTGAAGCTGTTTCTCATCAGAGCACTTTGAGCCAGGGCCCCAGTGGCTTCTGTAGGATGCTGGGGATGCTGAGCCAGTCTCACTGCAATTCCAATGGATCAAGACATCATTCCCATGGCAGAGAGAGCTGCTGATACAAACTACCTGACTCAATATTCATAGTGAATGCTATTTAACACCCCTGAGCCAGGGAGAGTTGTGTGTGTGCTCAGCAATACTGGGAGAGCAGCAGGCGGAATGAATCTGGGAGGATTCTTTGACAGATCAGATCTCTGACGGGCAACTGTCCAAGGGGCACGAGCCCATGTGAAACCTGAACTCACTCTGCAATTCCAGCCCTCTGCAGGGACTGAAAAATAAGCTCAGGAACCCAGGCTTGACAACAGGCACCTCAAAGGAGTGCCTATGTTTGGAGGGATCAACCTGGGCTTTTGCTGTTGTGGCTGAGGTTCTGCTTACTGCCTCTTAATTGGATCATCTAAAAAAAGCCACCATTGCCCAAGCCACCTGCAAGCAGCCTGGCCCAGGTGACCATGCTCAGGCACTGCTGCCAGGCACAGCTGAGCTCCAGGGGGAGACAGAAGGGGCCAAGTGTGTAAGACACCATGCAACACATGCCATGTTCCTGCAGAGAGCATTCCCTCTCCCAGAGCCTCCTCCTCTGACCTTCTCCAGGCTAGTTTCATTGCCTCAAACCTCAAAAGCTCTCCTTAGAAATCACCAGCTGCTACAAATAAGGAATTGAATGGGAAAAAAATCAGTACTGACTAGTGGCAAGGCCACAGCAGTATGCCAAGGGGTCTGCTCTGGCTTTGGCTCCATGGGGGATGACCCCAAAGGAAGAATTACCAGGATGCTAAAATGTGAGACATCAGTTTCCAACATGAACCTTACAATATCCAGGGGAAAGGAGCAGGGAAGTATTCTGGCTACAGAATCCCTATATTGTTAACTGCATCCTTCCAATTAGCATTAGAGGCTGCAGAACTGAAAATAAGGATGTAGGAAGGTAGGAAAGTTGCTGAAGGTACAGAGAATTTTGCTCAAAGCATTTCTCCCTTTCAAATGTGAGCACACAACCCTTTATCCGTGCAAAACCAGGAGCGATTAAGGAAAATTAGGTCCCACTCCTACTCCAAGCAACTGTTACAAACTGACCTCACCTGTCACAGCTCTTACACACACATGAACAAGTAAAAATTGGAATATTCTGTGTCTCCAGTAGACTCCAGCCCCTCTGTATGGCCTCAGTAACTGTCCAGTTTCCAGATGAGATGCCCAAATAACAAAAGCAAGTCCCTCTGCTGCCAAGGCAAGAAAACTTGCTCTCTTTCCAGCTCCTGTTGTGGTAACAGGAAGGATTATTGCCATGTCAGTACAGCCCGCTGAGCTCTGCCCAAGGAAGTTGCCAGGCATCACCACAATGCCCCAGACTTTATCAAGGCAGGAGCTGGAGTTGGTCAGCAAAGAAAACTGAGTTCTAAGGTGATTTCTCAAGGCGTGGAGGACAAGGCTCCCATTGTGCAAAGTTCATCAGCAGGACAGGGGCTAATTAACTGAGAGGAGTTTTGGAACTTGACACTTTCCAAGTAACAGTTCTCACTGCCCACAGCCAAGCACTAGCTACACTGCAAGCTAAAAGCCTTGGAGAGCGGTCCCAAACTGGATTTATTAACAGATTTCCCTACTCTTATACACAATTCTCCCCAAAAAAGTCCATTATCTGTATGTCTAGTGACACTGGAGCAGGAGGGGCAATAGGGACTGTCTACACCATGGAGAGCTGTGAAGCTGCTGCGAAGCTCAGACCCAGCTTTGGGCTAGTCTGGCTATAAATCCTCAGTGATAATTGGACTAAAAATATAAACCAGCAGTCTGTCCAATGCCCAAAAGCTGGTTCACAATCCTCCCCGTTCCCCAGGTGTGGCTGTGTGTTAAAGTAAACAGGAATTCTCCAAACCCAGCCAATGTGGATGATGCTCCAACACTGCATGACACGGAGGTCAGTGCAAAGCACACAACCCTTCTCTTTCCATAAAAGTATGCTTATTTATGTAAACATCTAATTATTTTTTATATATTTAATTGCTCTGAACTCACTTTTCCACCTCAATTATGTTGCTGTGTCCCTCTGAGGCGGCACTTAGAGAAGACTATGACCAGCCATTGTGGGAGGACTGGAGTCATCCTCAACTGGGCAGCAACACTGTTATCCAAACAGTTTTCCAAAGCAACTCTCATTTGCATTCAGGATCACCCTGGGCCTAGGGAATGCTGAAAGACGTGGACAAAACCAGAGATTCTCCGAAAGAAGCAGCCAGGCTTTGAGAATAACCCACTTTTTGAAGCTACACAAAGCTTTTTTGAGGCTTGCACAGAGACCTCATTCAGCTACCAGTCTTCTAAGAGCTGGAATAAACTCAATCGTACCCCTTGGACTCGGCAGCCCTCGGAAAGGATGGGAACACACACAAAGGCAGCCACACCACAAACATTGCCCCAGCCTAAGGAAGGGGTCAGATCTATAGAGACTTGGCACTAAAGGCCAATTTGAACTTGATTACTCCATTTTGGAGCTGCTCTTCCCTGTCACCTGTTACCACTGTCACCTCCCTGCAGCAATGCATGAGTGAGGTGGCATCTCTGTCCTACCAGCTGCTGCGGCAGGGGCACACTCCCTGCACAGAACCACAGAATCACCAGAGTTGGAAAAGAGCCTTGAGGATCATCTAGTCCAACTCCTGCACAAGACATGCCCAATAATCACACCCTGTGCCTGATAGCATTGTCCAAATGCTTCTTGGACTCTTGCCAGGCTTGGGGCCGTGACCACTGCCCTAGGGAGCTGTTCCGGTGCCCAAACGCTCTCTGGGGGAAGAAGCTTCTCCTGATATTCAACCTAATCCTGTTCTGGTATCCAAACACCTCTGGGGAAGAACCTTCTTCCAGTATCCAACCTAATCCTGTTCCAGTGCCCAAACACCCTCTGGGGAAGAACCTTCTCCTGATATCCAACCTAATCCTGTTCCAGTGCTCAAAGACCCTCTGGGGGAGAAGAACCATTTTCTAATCTCCAGCTTAAACCTCCCTGACCCAACTTCAGACCAATCCCTGGGGTCCTGTCACTGGTTGCCAGAGAGAAGAGGTCAGTGCTGCTCCTCCACTTCCTTCCATGAGGAAGTTGTATACAGCAATGAGGTCTGTCCTCATACACTCCTGACCAACCCCACAGCTGCTGTGAGCACTCATCCTGGGGTGCTGCAGGACCTCATCTCCTCTTAAACCTCCCTGACCCAACTTCAGACCAATCCCTGGGGTCCTGTCACTGGTTGCCAGAGAGAAGAGGTCAGTGCTGCTCCTCCACTTCCTTCCATGAGGAAGTTGTATACAGCAATGAGGTCTGTCCTCATACACTCCTGACCAACCCCACAGCTGCTGTGAGCACTCATCCTGGGGTGCTGCAGGACCTCATCTCCTCTGCAGTGTTGTAACT